ATGGTGGAGTTGTGGCCCAATCCGGCTTTTCTCCCCAAGGTCATCACGTCGGCCTTTAGGTCGAGAGTGATCAGGATTAGGGCTTTCCACCCGCCGCCGCATGCCTCCCCCGAGGAGGAGCGGCAGCACCTTCTGTGTCCTATCAGAATGCTGAGGCATTACCTGGCCATGACGTCGTCATTCAGGTCGGGTGATCAGCTGTTTGTGTGTCTGGGCCCCAAGAACAGGGGCGCCCCGCTGTCGGCTCAGCGGCTGGCGCATTGGGTCGCCACGGCGGTGCGACGGGCGTATCAGGCGCAGGGCCTGGCCCCCCCGGTGGGTTTCAGGTCGCATTCCACGCGTGGGATGGCGGCCTCTACGGCCCTTCTCAGGGGGGCGTCGGTCGAGGACGTTTGCCGTGCGGCTTCTTGGGCGTCGTCCTCCTCTTTCGTCCGGTCTTATCTTTCGGATGTGTCGGACCGGTCGGTGGCCCATTCCGTGCTGAGTGCAGCGGATTGAGTTGGACCGTTGGGTCCCTCCCCTGAGGAGTGGGCCTTCGGTCTATTTTTCCGCCCTGGTGCAGGAGCTCTTGGGAGAGGCATCCTACAGGTGCGGTACATATATGTGTGTTTGATCGGTCTGGTAGTCTACATCAGGAGCTCTTGGGAGAGGCGTCCTGTGACTACGGTTGACCTACGATTGGTGTTACGTGGGGGCGTCCTTGGTAGGAGTGGCCCGGTAACACGCTTTGTTTCTTCTGCCCTGAGTCCTCTCACGGTGTGAGGGTCTTGCTCGGGCGGAGCTCCAATCACCCTTCGCTGGCCTGCTGGGAGTACATGTTCCTACGGCCTCCGCGTTGTGTCCCACTAGCGAAGTCCTAAGGGACGTAGCACCATGACGTAGAATTAATAGTTACCTAATGTAACTTAAGTTCTACGAATAGGTGCGTAGTCCCTTAGCTACGAGCCCATCAGGCCAGCCCGGCTTGGCAGAGTTCAAGAGGGGGTGCGGCCTTGTGCAGGGGCATTTATAGAGGAAGGTGGCTGGTGATTGGAGCAAATTATTTTGATCTCTCTGGCGTCTGTGACCTGGGGGTCACGTGATATCCCACTAGCGAAGTCCTAAGGGACTACGCACCTATTCGTAGAACTTAAGTTACATTAGGTAACTATTAATTACGCTTGTTCCATTTTTGTTGTACTGCTGATGTAAGCCATCTTATCTATTTGGTATTTTTCTTCTGTGATAAAGGACCCTCGAACAAGAGATAGATTATCTCAATGGGGCTATCCTTAAATAAATGAATTTCAACCTGGAGAGACTACAAGAGACGAGATGCGTTTAAGAGTTGTTTATTTTATGGATTGAGTTTGTTTATTGGTTTGGAGCTTAGGCCCCGGCTGTGGCCGTGCTCTGAAGAGATCTGCGCCTGGGTGCAGATCATGATCCCCCGGGGCCTAGACACTGGTGGTGGCAACAAGGCAAGGTGAATGTGAGAGTGAAGAAATCCTGAGGCGGAGGTGGGGAGGAGGTGGTTGCAGCTTGAAGTCCGTTTGGTGAGCTGTGCTCTGCTTTGCTCTTAAACGCTGGCTTGATTGACACGGCTGCAGGGAGTTGATTAAGACAGGCTGAGTAAGGCGTGGTCAAGCCTGGTGTGATAACGTAGGTAGTCTACCATACTGAACCTCCGCTTAAGCTCCATTTCAACCTGGAGAGACTACAAGAGACGAGATGCGTTTAAGAGTTGTTTATTTTATGGATTGAGTTTGTTTATTGGTTTGGAGCTTAGGCCCCGGCTGTGGCCGTGCTCTGAAGAGATCTGCGCCTGGGTGCAGATCATGATCCCCAAAGAGAGAGCTTGGCTAGCGATGCGTTTGCCATGACTTGGTTGCTGCGTTTATGGAAGGCGCATGGTGTGAGTGACTGTTTCCGTGCGCGAGCTCGGCTCTAGCGCTAGGCGTTGGCACGCGCACGAGCTCGGCTCGAGTGCGCGGCGTAATGTCCGTGCGCGAGCTCTCGGCTCTAGCGCTAGGCGTTGGCACGCGCACGAGCTCGGCTCGAGTGCGCGGCGTAATGTCCGTGCGCGAGCTCGGCTCTAGCGCTAGGCGTTGGCACGCGCACGAGCTCGGCTCGAGTGCGCGGCGTAATGTCCGTGCGCGAGCTCGGCTCTAGCGCTAGGCGTTGGCACGCGCACGAGCTCGGCTCGAGTGCGCGGCATGCTGGAAATGAGGAGTTGCCACCACCAGGAGATGCATACGTACTTATATGAGAGGAGGCGCTGGGCTGCCAGAACGGATGAATGTGGTAGAGAACCGGGGACCGAGCTCCTGGAGAGATGATTGAGGGAGTCCCAGGGCAGCAGCCCAAGTGGCTGCTCCTATCCGGAAGGAGTGGCGGGTGTAGAGAAAGGAAGAGAGGTTACATGCAGGGAGCAGAGGTTTTGAATTTGTTCAGACCAGGGGGTCGTCGAGGGATTGTTTAAGGAGTAATTATAGTCTATGAATGTTGATAAAATGTCCATAGATGTTGTAGCATGTTAAAGTATCCTGGATCATCACCACGGGCCTTCTAGTTGGACACTAACTGTCCAGACCCTCCTGCATGGCAAGGAAAACTCACAAAACCCCGTGGGGAAAAAAGTGAGAAACCTTCGGAAGACCCTACATTGAGAGAGGGAATCCACTCCACGGACGGACAGGCTAGTCGTCCAGGACCTAAACTACAGAACAAGGACCATTGCCAATACTCCTTTAAGGATCTTCTTATGAGGGTGGAGCAGTGTGACTCGAAGTGGATTTTAGAGAATGTATTTAATGCCGATGTAGATGAGGCAGTGACGGCAGTACCAGCGATGCTGATGTCCAGAGACTGAGAGTGTGCAGTGAGAGGGAAAGGAGAATGCTGAATGAAGGATGAACTGCTGGTGTTTAGAGCGCTGATATTCGAACATGATTCCACTTGGGGAGACTAGAAGGTGAAAATGAGATTCATGAAGTACACTTACCCAGGAAGATTGATGTTCGATAGGAGATCTCTGGACCCCCAAAAACCAACGCACGAGGGCCCGGTCAGAATGAGGGCCAGGGTGCGTCAGGTAAGGCGAAGCGTGAGACAGGCCCGGCGGCAGGAGCCGCACCAGGAGACCAGGAGAGAATATGCCTGGGGAACATGAGAAGGAGCACCGCCTACAGCCACTCAGAGTGCACGCAAACCGTGGCGGGCAGTGCTGCACCCAAAAGCCAATGAGTGCGGCCTGGGGAAGATAGCCGGCCAGGTTTGAAGGCCACGCCGAACAGTACTCATGCAGTCTTAGCTGGCCAGCGTTGCAGCAGGCCACCGTCGCGGCGTTGTAGCAGAGCTTTGGTGCGGCGTTGCTGCATCGCGTTCCTGCGAAGCTGAAAAGAGAAACCTCGAACCACTATCACTCGAGTGAAAAGGACCACGTCTTCAGTCAGACCACGTCTTCAGTCAGACCACTGACCTGATCCGTCGATGCCGGCTCTTCCCGTCATTGTGAAGCAGAACTCTCCAAGCGTTGGATTGTTCACCCCCCAATAGGGAACGCGAGTCCATGGTCGACACTGGTCCCACGATGAATGGATGAGAGCACACGAATGCGTCGAAGCGTGGCGTCGAGAATGCAGCAGGAGGCGGACACCGACGTGGCATCAAACAGCGGCCACCGGCGATGAAGCGTGCGGCCGCCGACGAGCTGTGATGAAGCGTGCGGCCGCCGACAAGCTGCGATGAAGCGTGCGGCCGCCGACAAGCTGCGATGAAGCGTGCGGCCGCGGACGTGCGCCGTCGTTGAAGCGTGCGCCGTCGTTGAAGCGCGCGCCGTCAAAGCGCGCGCCGTTGTTGAGGCGTCGTTGAGGCGTGCGGCGTCGTTGAGGCGTGCGGCGTCGTTGAGGCGTGAGGCGTCGTTGAGGCGTGAGGTGTCGTTGAGGCGTCGTTGAGGCGTGAGGCGTGCGGCGTTGTTGAGGCGTCGTTGAGGCGCGCGGCGTCAAAGCGCGCGGCGTCAAAGCGCGCGGCGTCAAAGCGCGCGGCGTCGTTGAGGCGTGCGCCGTCGTTGAGGCGTGAGGCGTGCGGCGTCGTTGAGGCGTCGTTGAGGCGTGCGGCGTCAAAGCGTGCGGCGTCAAAGCGTGCGGCGTGGAGGAGGAGTTGAAGCGTGCGGCGTCAAAGCGTGCGGCGTGGAGGAGGAGCTGAAGCGTGCGGCGTCAAAGCGTGCGGCGTCAAAGCGTGCGGCGTCAAAGCGTGCGGCGTCAAAGCGTGCGGCGTGGAGGAGGGCTGAAGCGTGCAGCGGTCAAAGCGTGCAGCGTCAAAGCGTGCGGCGTGGAGGAGGAGTCAAAGCGTGCGGCGTCAAAGCGTGGCGTCGTCGAAGCGTGGCGGCGTCAAAGCGTGCGGCGTCAAAGCGTGCGGCGTGGAGGAGGAGTCGAAGCGTGCGGCGTCGAAGCGTGGCGTCGAAGCGTGGCGTCGAAGCGTGGCGTCGAAGCGTGGCGTCGAAGCGTGGCGTCGAAGCGTGGCGTCGAAGTGTGGCGTCGAAGCGTGGCGTCGAAGCGTGGCGTCGAAGCGTGGCGTCGAAGCGTGGCGTCGAAGCGTTGTAAGACCAGAGCACTGGGCAAATGAACAGCACAGAGGGGCTCGGCCGCGCACCGACCAATCAGATCAATGCAGTGGACAAAACTTACAGTCCACGGTCAATTTAGACAGAGCGAAGGCCAATGCAGACGACAAATGTTATAGTCCATGGTTACAACTGACAGCCTGGAGGTCACTGCAGTGGGTAAAATTTTCAGTCCATAGTAAAACGGACAGCCAGAAGGCCAACACAGTGGTTGAAATGTACGGTCCATGGTGAAAACGGACAGTCTAAATGCCAATGCAGATGGTAAAACGAACAGCCTGAAGAGCAATGCAGCGGGTAAAAACACAGCCTGCGAGACAATTCGGCGGGATTAACTGACACGCCGCAGTTCAGTACGTTCATGGTAGTGCGGAAAACAACGAAACCGACACTGTACCGTGAGTGGAGGCAGGGAGACGGGTGGACAGCGGCAGCAGACAACGGCAGGCAGATAGAAGTCCCGTTCCCGGTATGGAAGCTGCAGGGTGCACGGAGTAACGCCTGGCCGCGAGTAGCAGCGGCCACGGGGAGACGAGCGGCAGCGAGTCCGCAGGAGAGGAGCCGCGGTGAGCCGCGGTGGAGACACAGCGACCATGGCGCGCAGCCCCAAACATGTGATGTGGAAGAGGAGCCGCGACCATGCAGGACGAACAATGTGCGAGGCGTGAGTAACAAGGTGACGAAGAGCAACCCATTGCAGCTTGAAGTCCGTTTGGTGAGCTGTGCTCTGCTTTGCTCTTAAACGCTGGCTTGATTGACACGGCTGCGGGGAGTTGATTAAGACAGGCTGAGTAAGGCGTGGTCAAGCCTGGTGTGATAACGTAGGTAGTCTACCATACTGAACCTCCGCTTAAGCTCCATAAATACATAATTGGCCAAAATGCCTGACTTCCATCCTCCCTTCTTTCTCCTCTTTTTATTGCATTATGAAACATATGCTTTCTCCAGAGCGTTTAGCAGCCTGTGTCCCCTCCACTTCTTTCATCACACAAGTTCCCGCTCCTCTCCTTCACCTCACTGGTTCAGGCTGCTGCTCTCCTCTGATGCACTTCCTAATGACAGCCGGCGCTGCTTTATAAAAGGTCCATCACTCCTGGCCTCTTCCTCCACTCTGTTATGAACACGCCGCGGCGCCGCTGCTTCCACAATACCGGATGCGAGTCAGGTGGAGAGCAGGGCGTTATTGCTGTCTTGATTACAAAGAGCCCTGGATTTGTTTTCCCAGAGATGAAATGAGGAGATTCATCATTCTGTCAGCGAGGTTACATGCATCTGGAGTCTCCATGTGCATGTGAACGTCTCACTCCGACTGTGGCCAGAGATTGTGCCTAATCGCAGCAACACACCCAGATAATGTGGTTTAATGGGGACCATCGCTGCATGCGGAATGTGGTTTAGAGGCTATGATTATATATTTAGAGAATTCTTTATATATTGCCACACCGTACAATGATCCATGATAATGAATAATAATCAGAGATGGGGATAACATGTGGAAAAATCTTTACACCTTAATTTTGTGAGCAATATTCACCAGTTTTAATATTTAACTTAACGCATAATTGTCAAGACACTTAAGAACTCTAATATGTGTTATGCTGCTGAATTAATGAAATTAGCCTTTATCATCCCAGCAGGAACATTTGTCCTCAGCCTTTGACCCATCCAATCAAGAGCAATGGTCCCTACAGCCTTTAGTGTCCGAGGACCCGCCCCCAGAGTGGCATATAGAAATGATGGTGTATAAAAATCTGGCACAGGTGAGAAAAGAAAAGGATATGTATTTTGCGTTTGTGTGAGAACATCGAGGTCCACTGTGGTCCCCAAAACACGTGGAAGAGCTCCCGACCAAGAAGTAATTTCAGTTTCTGCCTCTCTTCTTTTTCCTGAGTGGGTTGATTGACAGAGCTCCTGACTAACTTCACCAGAAATTCTTAATACTGTAGTAGCCTGCGCGGCCAGATGGGCGACAATATGTGTTCATTTTAATGACATTAACTTCATTAACAGCAAAGTTGTTTCTAAACGAATTTACACAAGAAGCGGCGCCACAAGTTTACAGTGATTTATTCTGGCCCATATGCTGCACTTTAAATATAGCCATTATTGTGCATAATTGTTTCCAGCTTTTTTAACCAATTTTAGTGATGTGTTGCTTTGCACACTTTCGCTAAGACGCATTCAAGTATATACAGATTAAGTATTTATATTTTGTTTATATCTTGTTTTGAGTCCTTCATATATTCTTACTTTTCCTGAACGTTCCTTAGAAGTCCAGAGAGTGGGCATCAAAATCCTACTGGAGCTTACCTCTGCAATATTGGGAATATTTAACAATGAAATTAGATCAAATTGTGAATTTAATCAACTGAAGATTCTGCTCTAGCTTTAGCAAAGACAAAGACAACAAAGCAGGTGAAGGGATGTGTATCGGACGGAACAAATAGCGGCTCGACTGTAAATAAAAACGTATGTGCTGAAAAATTGTCCTTAATTCAAACTTACTTGTAAAATGGATGATTACTGTTTTATTATTATTATGTATCTTCTATGTTTGCTAATAGTAAACTAACAGAAGATACAACAACAACATTATACTAGTGACTGATTTCACCTGCTTCACTTTGCCTTTCCTTTTTCTTGTTCTTTAATGTTCATTTTTGTATGTTTTATAAAGTGTCTGTAGATTGTCCAAAAATCCATTATATAAGTTTGATGTATTATTATTATTATTATTATTATTATTATCATCGGGTGGCAGCTCTGATTGTCACCCGCCGACCCAGAAATTGATTAATAAAGGGGTAGAAAATGAATGAATCAATAAATTAATATTATTGTCTGTCTGATGCTGTTTTGTAAATAAGTGTAATTTGCACCATGTATAATAATAATAATAGTATGTTTATATAATAATAATGTATAATGTAAACCCGGCTCCCATCTCTGTGTGGAGTGAGCGATAAATGCCCACAACAATTTTAAAGCAGAGAAATGTGAAAGGCGCTATATGAATAAAGATTACTTACTCACTTACTTACTTAAATAAATAAAAAGTAAAAAAAAAAGAAGTCTTGAGAGAGTGCTTAATGAAACAGTGACCATAATGACCATAATGAGTTGGTCAATGGTCGGCGGATGTAAAAGACAAAATACTGACGTGTGATTGGTCCCGTGGCGGCCGGGTTGACGCTGTCGCTGCTGTCCCCGCTCTCGCTGCAGGACACCTCATCATCGGACTCACGCGTCAACGAGCACGGAGAGGCCGCCGCCGCCTCCACCTCCTCAAATTTCCTCTTCAGTATTCCGCTCATGGCAGCTCCACATGCACCTGAGGAGAGCGGAGCACATGAGGCAGACAGGGCGCATTATTTCACATCCACTTCGAGGGTGTCATAATCCCGTGCACACTCAATTAGCCGGGAGCCCGGACCTGTACGCCAGAGCGCGCACATACACACACACACATACACACACGGGCGCACACACATATAAATGCTCCCTGGGCGATTGATCACCTTTGCGCAGCACGGCAAAGATGGAAGGAAGAGGCTGCTAATTACAACTGCTTCACAGGAAGTCGATACATATTCATAACTATAGAATTACTTTTGTATTTCACTGAGAACGTAAAGAGTTAAAGGAGATGTGTGGTTTTCTCTCGCACAGGTCAAGGTCACTTATACTCACTGAAATACAGGTTATGATGCACATAGACGTCACATTTGGTAACACGACCTGAGTTTCACAACGTCCACATGGTTTGAACTAATAAGAGAGATACGGCAGTTCCCCTCAGCATCTGCCCTGTTGCCAATAGATACGTCTGCTTTGACCTTCAGACCAAAACATCAGGAGGAAAAGTATTGACTTCTGCACATGTTGTTGTAGTGACCAGCTTAGTTTTAATATAAATGCACAAAAAAGATCTATTATGCCTGTGTTAAAATAATGAAATAAAACTCATTACTAGGACTAAGTACTGTATATCAATCAATCATCCATCCATCCATCCATTTTCTTCCGCTTCATCCGTTGCCGGGTTGCGGGGGCAGCAGTCTAAGCAGAGACGCCCAGACTTCCCTATCCACACACACTTCCTCCAGCTTGTCCGGGGGGACCCCAAGGCGCTCCCAGGCCACCTGAGAGACATAGTCCCTCCAGCGTGTTCTGGGTCCTCCCCGGGGCCTCCTCCCGGTGGGACGTGCCCGGAACACCTCCCCAGGGAGGCGTCCAAGAGGCATCCGGAACAGATGCCCGAGCCACCTCAACTGGTTCCTCTCGACATGGAGAAGCAGCGGCTCTTCTCCGAGCTCCTCCCGTGTGACTGAGCTCCTCACCCTATCTCTAAGGGAGCGCCCAGCCACTCTGCGGAGGAAGCTTATTTTGACCGCTTGTATCCGCGATCTTGTTCTTTCGGTCATTACCCAAAGCTCATGACCATAGGTGAGGGAGGGAACCTATGGTCCTCCCTTACCCTATGATCAATCAATCAATCAAAGTTTATTTGTAGAGCGCCTTTCATACACAGGGCAACACAAAGCGCTTCACAGTCCACATCACCCAAGGTACAAATCATCACATAAAACAAACACCAGAAACACAATTAAAATATTAATATCACACACAGAAATTAAAACCATTAAAACTTTAAAATTACACAAGGTATTAAAAAAAATAATCACAGTGCATTAAAAATGGAGATAAAGTCCTTCAGTTGTATGCACGGGCAAACAGAACAGTCTTTAGACGCCTCTCTCACATTTTCAGGGAGACTGTTCCAGATGTTTATATAAAAATGGAAGCTCTTTCTGTGTGGAGTTTGCACGTTCTTCCTGTGTCTCTGTTGGTTTCCTCCGGGTGCTCCTGTTTCCCCAACCACTTATAATGAAAACTGTCCATTAATGCACACCGTCCTAGCCTGGTCGTACCACACCATAGTACAAATTACATTTCGTACTAAGGTCTGGAGGCGCTTAATTGAGCTCTGTTTACAGGTGGAAGGGGTAAACTCCTTTTGCAGAATGAAACGATTGGATCTGAGTTTACCGTCGGGTATGTACAGTAATGCGCCCGAGTGAGTTGTTAGCATTTAGCATTTAGCCTACCCCTATACTTTGTCGCTAACGGAGCCCATGGGGAGTAGTGCCAGAATTGTTGCCAGCGACTACATTTGCTAAACATTCCTCTTGCTCCGGCTTCAATTTCTTGATAGAACCAGACCAATTTAATTTACTAACGCATTCTTTGCCAGTGTCAAAGTACAACCTGCCCGTTCGGCGCAAACTCTTGACGTCACCAGCACCGACCTACAACACTCGCCTCCCGCTCGCTGATTGGTCGGATGGAATTCAACCGATTGTAGTCGCAAACACAGAGACCAGACCCAGACGTTACATGCAGTGAAATGAAGATTGAGCGGAGTGTACGGATGGCTAAGGCCAGGCTAACACCGTCCTATTAACTATTCAAATTAAATAAAATATAGATAAATACATTAAAATAAGTATCTCAATACATTAGCATAAAAAGGTGAAAGTATTATGTTTAGTGTTGTTATACCTTCTATTATTTTAACATTTCTCCGAGTATGAAAGTATGAAAACACTGGCAAGCGATACCATCCATAACAATCACAATCAGTATTATTCCTGAAGAAACGTATTCAAATATCAGCCTTTAAAGTACATAGACACATTGAAGTCCAAACGAGGAGCTGAGCATATTCCGGTGTAATTTGAATTAAAATATTGTTGATGTACTGTTCGCCACCGCGGCTGAGTTTTGCATTTCAGCATCTGTCCAACAGGAGAAAACATCACATAGGCACGTCGCTCTGGAATAATAATAACTCAGAATAATGACTCAAAACAGACAGTGACAGGCTTTGAAGTGACACAAATCTGCAGCTCAAATGGAGAGATTCAATTATGATCAGAAACTGCTTATAAAAGCTGCGCCAATGTTCTTTTTCAGAGATTGTATTGGTCCTGGACAATGGTGTGTGTGCCTCTGAATGAGATGTGTCTTTTGTGTTGGCGTCACAGGTGCAGCTAAATATTGGTGCTTATGCTCTTCAGACTGAGCTTTTGTGATGGAAGTGGTACGGAGCACTCTGATGTCAATTGGCCTGGCTATTATCTGTCTGACTGAGGCCGCAATTAGATAAACAAACAAGGACACCATCATCAGTCAACTACAGTAAAACTAATCAGCAGATATGAGCACGAGCGCTGGGGCCGCCGCTCACTTTCAATATGTGCAACGCTGGCTTTGGCTTTGAACCTGCAAAGGCAGATTATACAAGAGCCCTTCACACCAAAAGAATACCATTGTTTTAAAAGGGAGAACATTTTGAAACTAAATCATTTCAAGCTTCTTTCACTGGCTTTAATAAAACATCACACAATTCAGGGCAAAAACTATACAAACAGATTCATGTTCTCTTTTATTTAACACTAAGCCTGCAGTGCAATAAAACAATAAAACTAATCTTATTGTGATATACATTAATAATAATAATTTAAAAGTTTATGGCAAGTTAACATTACTTTGATTCTGATAATTGGAGTTGTTAGTATGTATGTTTTTAATTAACATAATCAGTATTGACTGATTTATTTGTATATTTATAAATTAAATTCTATTCCATGCAGACGTTTAATGAGTGTCATTTCACATACAAAATAATCCAATCGATTTCTTTTCATTCTGAAGTAAGCTTTATTTTTGCACTACAAAACAAGAATTGGCCATGAACCTCCCAATACTGTCCAAGGAAGCGCTAAATAAAACAGTTGCATCATGATCAAAATCAAGGACAGGTCTTTCTTAACGGCACCGTCACAGTGACTGGTTATTGTCACGATACCATAGGTGTGTTTTGTACCAGAAAAAAGAATATAAACTGTATATATGTGAAACAAAACAAGCCATAATAATGAGCCATAAAGAGACATTTATTAGCCCACATAAAATCTGTTGTGTTTCCATTGTATTTTTGTGTATTGTCATGCACATTTTAGTAGCAGCTTGGAACATTCTCATTTCACAACTGGAACTTGCTGTACTCTGCATTGCACCATATGCTTTTGTTTTGCCTTTTCTCTGAATGAAATAAGAATAAAACAATCACCGAGATTAAGAACACCAAGATCATTTATATTCCTAAAAGCTGGTTATCCTTTATGTTCTGTTCTACTCTACATAATCCATACAAGAAACGTACAGTAATTCCAATCAACTTCAATCTAACAAAACACGGCATCGTTGATTGTTGCCAGCTCGATGCAAATGTCTTATCTCATTTTAGAATAAAGCTTGTGTGGTGCGTCGACAAACACAGCCATGACTGGCAGCTTTTCCCTGAACTGCTGCCGCTCTTGGAAGCTGGAATGAGAATAGTGGAGCCTGCTCCTTCAGCCAGCCCCGCTCTGTGTATCTGCCAGAGCAGCTTGTGGGGGAGTTTCCATTCATCTGCGCTCTGCTATCAAATCATTACAGATGCAAATGCAGCCACAAAAACACAGGGAATATGTAGTATGAGCATGTAGTGTGTGCGTGTGTGTGTCTGTGTGTGTGTGTGTGTGTGTGTGTGTGTGTATGTGTGCATTTATGCGTGTGTGTGTGTATGTGTATGTGTATGTGTATGTGTGTGCGTGTGCGTGTGCGTGTGTGCAACTGTAGCTATAGCAGAGCCAGTCTGAAGGGTCATTGTTCCCTGGAGCTGGCTGGATGGGCTGTGCTGCTGACACGGCATCCAGATTCAACAGCTACAACCTACGACTGGAGAATGTGGGGCAGGGTTGGAAATCAGTCAGCACTAGATCATATACGGAATCGGGACGGAAGCGGAAGTAAATATAACAAACTACCTAATTATGCCTAAACTTAACCAGCCGTTCAAATAAAATAACCCCAACCCAGCCTTAACCATTTTACTCAGACGCCTAAAACTTAACCAGTCACCATTTAAGGACTCATTAGTCTAAAACTAATTCGAAAGTACGAGTGTTACTTCCGGTTTCGCCCCGATTCCGTATATGATCTAGTGCCGACCGGTGGAAATCAAGAAGAGGGAGGGGTTGGACACGGAAAGGCAACCTATATGATAACTTTATTTATTTATTTATTGTGTTTGGTTAATACCCCAAACCCTCATGCTGCCAACATGTACAGATCTATATATTACTTGTACATACACAGTATTTTTAAATTGGCTTCTTAATGTGCCAAAGGTAATAATAATAATAATGCATCGGTTTTATATAGCGCTTTTTTGGACACTCAAAGACGCTTCACATGTGTCATTATT